TATTCTCAGTTCTTATATTTTTTTATTGTATTCTCAATCTAAAAATTGTTATTACTGCTTCATTCTCTTTGTATCTCTCAATGTCTTCATTTCTAAAAATTCGACTTAGTTTAATCAAATTTCTTGGAATTACGGTATTAAATGAATGCATTATCCATTCATTTTTAATACGTGCATTACTATTATTTGAAGACAATTAAAATTATTTTTAAGTAAAAGCATTTTAAAATTACTATTTTGACTGTCTAGTTGTTTTATAATTCATTGCATGTTCTTATTCTAATTAATCAAAATATTAAAGCCAACAAACTTCAGTTTAGTTTCTAATATAGTTGCAAACATCATGGACAAATATACACCTGTCATAGTTTTCACAGTTTACATCGAATCATTTATGGAGAGGAAAATCAAAGCTGATTATTAAGACAATGGTATTAAAGACGAAAGAATCTTAATTCCATTCATCATCATGTTACTATTTTATCTAATAAATTGTTTAAGCCAAAAATAGTGATGTAAGCTAATATAACTTTTCATTCGTTTTTAAAAAAAGAGTGTTCATAGACTAAACAACACATGAAAAAAATAAATTAATCTAAAATCGTCTATTCATGTTAAACAAATCGTACCAAGCTGATTGTACTTCAAACCTCTTTCGAACAATACAATAAGACAAGCGCATAGATCACTTAACCACATGAAACTATAAGATATTCTATTAATAACAAAATACTTCCCAAAAAAATGTTTTTGGGTACTGCAAGACAAAACAACTTTTAGGGTAGACTGGTTTATTAATTAAACTGTATCCTAGTTAACAACAACAAATTATTTGTTATTATTGATTAAATTCATAGTTTTAGTATTGATTATGTTATAATAATCTTCAGTTGTATGTTTTCTGATGCTTAAAAGATGACTGCGGTTCACTTCCTATTTATGGTTTTTTTAAAAAGAAAATTCTCATTTCCTCCCCAATATATATATATCTGGTGACTATTTGATATGAAGAAAATCTATCGAAAGAAATAGTTGACCTTTACCACTACACCAACTTAACATTTTGACCATATACAAGTATACCAATACTTAAGCACAGTAGAGTGGATATTTTTTCTAATATCTCTTAGTAGATTGATGCATTTCGACATTGGAAATAGATAGAGTTTAACTATACACTTGGTTGCCATAGTAGGCAAAAATAATCGGTTTTCTTCCTTTGATTTGTCGTGATTTTAATACTTGTATTCATAACTATTGGATATTTTCGCTCTTGATTTAAAAAGCGAATTTCAGAGCATTGTTTTTGTTCACGCGTCGAGGTTGTTGTATTTTCAGACATTATTGACTATTACTCGAACTAGTAATTTGTAGCACGTTTTATAATGCATTTCATAAAGTTTTGCACAATGATTGGATACAACTCAACGTCAAATTTGACTATAAAGGAAAAAAAAAACTTGGTTACCATATTCTGTTTTCGCAGTGTCACTGCTCAATCTTTTAATGATTTTGTTTTAATGGAGGTGGAGAGTTAAGGGGATTTCGGCACCTGTTCACTATTAGCATAATATCAGTTCAGTATAATGTAATCGGCTGACTGTCATCTTTTATGGAAAGTCTAAATTATGTGCTTAATTTCCATTTTACGTTATGTATAATGGCTATTTATCATGTTCTGTAAAATCATTCCAATTAGATCTAATGAATATTTGACTAAATACATTTGCTTTGTATAAATCTTAGTAGATTGTACGATATTTAAAATTTGTAATCTTCTGGACTGCGTTATAATGAGGCTAAGTAACATAAGAATACTGAGTTTTTTCTTGGATAAATAAATATAGGATCTAGAAGAATTCATGTTGTATCTGCGATTATCACTCAAATGATACAAAAGCATTTGTGGCTATTGATGTTTTGCGAATGGCAGTATGGAAAATACAATGCTTATAATAATTGTTTATAGTTATTTGTACTTTCTTCATACTTATGGTTTCACAAGAAATTCATTTATGTTATTTAACAGTAGAGTATAATAATTTCGATAGTTTTCTCATAATTAGACCTCCATCTAGTAAAAAATTTACTTAAATTACAGTTTACACGGTATTCAAATATCTAAGTTTAAAAATTTATTGCTCACCTAAATAATAATTATTTATCGATGTTTCAGTAAACTTTTTTTAAAACTGTAGAAAATATGATACATTTTAAAGGTTTCACGTTATCTCTAAATAGTAATATGTATTGTTCCAAGTGATTTCATTACTATATCTTGATATGAACTGAATTTCCACAACATTGAATAATCTCATTAATCAAATTAAAATTATTGAAATAACATTCTTGACCAAGCTTTTTGAAGTTCCTCACGATTGCTTATAAGTGATATTCAAATTGGCGCTTATCTGTTCTTTGTTTTAGTCATAAGAAAATGTGTTTCATCTCTAAGGAACGTTGTTAAATTGTCCAACTTCTCGACTATAAACATTTGAACTAGCTTTTCATTCAAAGGAATAAAAACTTTCCACTAAAATCTTCATTATTTTTAATTATGTTAGCATCCTACTTGATATCGATTTATCAACAAATAATTATTAGCCATATAATTAATTGACGGTGATCATGGAGTCGATAAAATTAAAGCATTCAAAGTGCTTCATCCTCTACCTTCCAATTTTCATAATGAAATTCGTCTTGTAAGCTATAGAAATTCAAATCAACAATAATCGTCTTTGTGTAGAAGATAAACTTCGAAATATAGAAATATTTGTTCGCTCAGATAGTTTAAAAAATATATTTCCTAACGTAGATAATCTAGTATCAATTTAAATAGGCTTAAACTGATCAGACTAAGATATAACGTAAGTCCTCATAAGAATTCGTCTCGTCTTCTTCAATGAAATTCCAAATATCTTATAACTTATATTCTTCCTATTTATCTTGTATATCTTTTTTTGTACTATAAAGTAGTGACAAGGTAAATCCGTTCACTGTTATACCGTCTTCTACATTATTCTGTCGATCTTTCAATCATATTTATTTCACAAGAATTTTCTACTGTTCTATCTGTTCATCCATTCTATTAATGTGCGGATTTTTTCTTATTTAGTGAATATCATGAATATCTGGAACTATTGATTCCTGAGAATACAAATGATATCCTAGAATTTGTTTATCTGAATCACTTAAATCAGTGCCAGATATAGATAGATATTGCTTTTTTTTATCATGTTTTCAATCATCTACTTTAAATGATAAACGATAAAAAAAATTAGATCTTAATGAATCTTTCTATAAATGTTAATTTCATTCACATTTTTCTGTCACACTTCATCTATATCTTTATTAACTTTTCTGAATTTTATCCTGATATTTGTAATAACACATCTTTAACTGTCCTATATTACAAAAAAATTTGTCTAGTAAACATTAAAAACGAACACTAAATAAATGTTATTGATTGATTTTTGTCATATGATAGAGGAGTTCCTGTCAATTTATAACGCCCGACATACTTAGTTTTTTAGTCCTACTTTTTCCTCCTGATCCAATGCTATGTAATGCATTAGTGTTATTTTTTTCTTAAGTTGAAAAGCATTTTCATAAAATGGAATTCTTCAATGATTTTATCATTCAGGAAACGTTCTATCTTGTGACGTTCATCTTAATATATTCAATAAATTAAAAATACAGTTATTTATTACTGTCATTGATTTTCCCTGTTGAGTTATTTAGTTCTATTGGAGCCAATCAAGATTAATCCTTAAAATTGATTTGAATCATAATCAGTTAACCAGTGCAATAAATGTTTCAGTAATTCACTTAACAGCATGATTGATTATACTATATACTTGATATTTTGATATGAGTTACGGGTTAGTAGAAAACTACCACTCACTGTTCTAGAGTTATTGTTTTTACCACTCGAATTTCAGGGCCTAGTTTTAATTCCAATTTGAAGTTATGAGTGGAGAATGCTTATGAGTTTCAAAGTAGGACAGTCTACTGTTTATGCCTTCTTGGTTTTCAGTGGTTCCCCAGTCGATGTCGATCCTTGGTTATTTTTATTCTAATGCTACTCAGATGATTAAAATCTTAAAATTCCTCAATGATAGTGTCTCTAACTTTAACAGTAGATGAAGAGGATCAGTCCCCTAAAATTAAATGAGATTTCCATCTTGTACTTCCTGCGGATGGACCAAGATCATTGAGTACTCACACATAATGGACTAAACATTTTTCTTATCAATAATATACAGATTATTTAACCTTTCACGTGTCGTTATTTTTTTAATATTTTGTCTTTATGGCTCTTTTTGGCATACCCGTAAATACATATGAGTCATTATTTGTTATCATGGAAATAAGTGTTATTTAAATACAAGAAAACTGTTTTGTTTTCTCTCCCTCTCACTAGAAAAGTGCATTGACTGGTTCGTTGTGAAAGTGTAGACTCTAGCTTTTACGTTTGAGAGTAGCTCACAGTGTTTCAAAAGTTAAGCATAGTTCGATATATTAATTCTGGTAGTTCCAACTGTTAATTAGCCACTTATAATGTCACATCTCACATAAAGCTGATGTTTTGTTGTTTCCAAAATATAAAGTCTAACGAAATGTAAATATCCTGTAGGGTAATTCATCTGGAGTAGTTTCGTCTGTTCACTACCATCGAGTTGCTTTGAGAAGTAAATTATTGCATATATGGAACTGATAAACTTTGCTCGAATATATAACCGTGGTTTAGCGGTTAAGACGTTCAACTTTTAGCTATTAAATACTAGGCGCGAACTCTGATCCAATTCTTCACTTTGCGCAACCAGTCAGTATCATTAGCTCATACTCAAGTACTTAATGAATGAGATGATGTATAATCATTAACCAATTTTTTTTTTAAATCAAGTATTACTTCAGGGCTATTTTTATGCTGCCAACCCGTTTTCTGTTAGTTTTAAGGTAGAATTTACCTATTTTTCATTCTTAATGCATTTACGTAGATGAGAATACCATTATGTCAATGGACCATGGAAAAACGACCACCAGAAGAATTTGCTCATTGTACCCCATCAAAAAATGAAGAAAAATGGGAAGAAACAGTGGATTTAACTAAATGTGATTATGACATAATAGATATTAATGCATTTATTAATGAATGTAAAATTGATCTTGAACCGATTAATACTCCAGCTTCTACAACTACTAATACTACTACAACCAGTACCACTATTACTTCTGCCCTTACATCAGAGATGGATGTTGGAGAACTAAATGATGCAGAGCTTCGACACTTTCTTTTTCCTTCGCCTAACTGTGAACATTGTGGAACTGATCAATCTATGTGCTGGCATAAGCTTTGGTCAAATTATCAAATACGGATCTTGTTAAATGTAAGGACAATAATTTGAATATATATATTATCAGTAATCCAAACTTTATGTAAAGTCCTTCCTTTTTATGAACCTTGTACTCCTCGGATAACTTATTCAAACCCTAATCTTTCCGATTACTACTTATACTTTTACTACCTCTACCACTCTGAGATTTGAATGGACAATTGTATCTCTGTGCTAATATGGTATGACAACTTGAACTGATGTACGTACGTACGAAGTTCTACGTTGTTGTTGACTGACTGATTGTATTAAGGTAGACAACAGGCTTCAGTGACCGGACACTCAGAAACCTCCGAGTCAAGGGGATTTTCGAGCTTAGGATTTAGACTTAGATATATTAATGCAGGCGCCAATTGCAAACATTATGGAACACAAATACAATCGACGTTGAGACCTAACTTGGAATACTTGCTAACTAAAGCTTACAGTGGAAAGTCAAAAAGTGTCAATGTTTCATTAGAATTTTTGTTAGAATAACGTCCTCGATGGATGTCAAATGTAGTAATCTGCGAAAACGTGTGCTGTGCTATAAAGTAGTAGTAGATAGTTGTCATCCGTTGTTGAAACTTAGAAAATATGTGTTAGTGATATTCAAAAGTTATATTGCTGTATTATGAAGTCATTGATTATAGTACTAAGTCGTGTCAATAAGCGCATACGTTGAGATTGATTAAATAATCTTAACGTCAGATTGGCTGGGTTTCTTAGGTGATCAAAATTGTTCACAATAGTACAGATGGATTCATATCTTCCTGTTAATTTTATGTTTTACTATTAATCTGTACTTCTTATTTTTTCATGTTCTTTTGTTCTTTTTGAAGTGCATTGTGTATATGTCGTTTTTTATCAAAATTGATACGAATATCACTTGTGATTTGTGTCTTGACTTCCTGTCACTGTTCTGATGCATTATGTCAACTTGGATTGATGTACATTGATACTTTATTCAACTGCTAAGCGTTGTGATTTTTCTTGAATGATTTCCGGTCGAAAGACTGTTAAAATAAATGAATAGAATCCTGATTGACAGATGAGCACAGTAATACGATACGATCTAGTGATGGCTCTTCATGAAACCGGATTATTAACTCAAAATGCCAAATAAACTTATATCAAAGTCAAAATCACTAGTCGGTGGAATAGATTCCCACTTTACTAAAATTACTTGCTTATATGCAAAATCAATTAAAAGTCAACTGAAATATAATATAATCAAATTTCATAGGTCATTAAATAATCAATGTAATGAAGCTTAATTCTTGTCTCACATATCACCAACATAGATTATACCTGTTTATCAGTCAATACTTATTTTTGTGTTGATTAGTTCATTACCAGTTATCCCAATATATCCCATCTCATACAAAGATTGTTTCATCCCATAATTATATATCTTTGTTAACATAATTTTTACTATTCAATGTGTGTAATCAAACCTAATTAAAGTGACCATTGAAAACATGATTTAAAATAATAACTTATTTGCTGGTAATATCAAAGACAACATATATAAGCGAACAATATTGTTTTCGATTAGATCTTCATCAGGCTTTACTCTAATATACAGTAATATTTATATGCATTGATTTGAGCCTTTATTGTTCTTATCAAACCTAGTACCCCTGTCATCACACTATTAATTTGTATTTTTCACATATTATGTAATTGTTTCCATTGTTATCATTGACTCGTAAACTACCTTGTTTGGTTTAACAATTTCATATACGCATATAAATATTACTGTATATTAGAGTAAAGCCTGATGAAGATCTAATCAAAAACAATATTGTTCGCTTATATATGTTGTTCTAAATTTACAATATGGGAATTTTCAAACATCAAAGACATTAAAGAAAACAATCATTTCATTAGTCTTTTATTTTGTTTTTCTGTATTATCATATTGTGCTTTCGTGTTTCCAAGTAAACAATGCGTCAATTGACTATTCGCATTATTATATATGCATTATTTGATATTATCTTATTTATTCCTGTGTTGATATGGGTTTTTTTCTACGCATTTATTTCTGAGATACAAGTGTACTAAACAAAAAGGTTTTTGTTGTATTTGTAGTTTTTTTCAAATGTGTTGATGATGGATAAAGTTCAGTGCTATATACTGTTGTATAATCTGATTGTTTTCTTGTTTATATTATATTGATTAGCAGTTTAATTGATATCTCTGACAGGTGCTGGTTATGTGTATCATATATTTAATTATCTTTCGAAATGTGTGTAGGTTATTGGAATTCAATATTTGAATGTGGACATAAAGTCTTACGTTTTTTATTTCAATATACTTGAACGCACACTCATTGATTTCGGCATTTAGTGTACAATGATGTTATCTGAATGAGAGATATCTTTTCAGAAAAATTATTATTGAACACAAAATGAATGAATGAAGATCTTTGTTTTGAAGAAGTGTTTCAATAGCTAAAAACATAACTTCCACCTCCTGCTTTTTAGATTAATGGACTAACGTTGAACTAATGTATTGATTTAAATTTCATTCGACTTCATATATATTTTTATACTGATATCTTTGAAGCGATTTGTTATTGAGAAACAATTCTGTTGAACAGAGAAGCAAACATTCATCAACTTGTAAACAAATGTAAATGACCTTCTTTCAACATAATGGGATTGTAGCTTAGTAAACGTGTCCCATGATATTCATTCATTACATAATTGATTTAAATCTCACATCATCTATTTCGATTTCGGTCGCTCTTTTATATTTTTATTCTCCAAATGTATGCGACCTCAAACTCGATATTACGACCTTCATATACACTGGTTGAACACACCTTCTCTTGGAAATATATTTATAGTTTGTCTGTACACATTTATCTAAGTATTTTGATTAAACTTAACTGGGAATTCATAGCAAGCACTTTTTTATCATTTAAAGGTGTTTAAAAAATATTCATTAACCTACTTGTTGCTAAACACCACTCTTTAATCACTACTACAATTAAAATCTATGGATTTAGTGTAAAATTCTACCTCTACAAATTGACTTTTTACTGACTAAATAAAATCAATTCCCTGAATTTATATATTGAAACATCATTTATTATCTGAATTTGTTTTATTTTTATTCACCATACATTTTTAATTAGGATAAGGTGCCTAACAAACCTGAATTGGATTTCATTAATACTCCTATTTTGAAGATAAATAAAGTAAGATTTTTGTTTTTTTTTCATTTTGAGAAACATCTTTTTATGTGAAAATAATATATCATCATTATTCATTTCATCTTGGTCCTTTAAAATGTTTTATGTCTACTGATATAAAAGTACGTTGGCAGACTAAAGGCGGCAATGTACGGAAAGCTTTGAATCTGTATTTCCTGTTAGTAGGAATATATACGCTACCTTATGGAAACTGATTTTCTCCGTAGGATTCAGAGTCGTCAAGTATTTCTTACTTTGATGCAGGTTTTAATTCGCTAAGAACCATCGATCCTCTCAAAATTTTAGATATGTTGGTGACGAGTGCCAATTAACAAATTCGCTTAACACTGAGGTTCAGAGAATATTGTGTTGTTGCTACTCAGCGATCAATTATTATGATCTAGAAATATATTTAAATGTATAAAGTCGATGTTATTATGTAAGTAGATAATTAAACTAATTCCTTTTTCGCACCAATATGATTGCTTTTGTACACGTTGCCATGTGATTTGTATACTGACACAAAAAATTGGATAATTTACTACCGATAACGTGACATGTAGAGTAAAATAATGCAGATAAACTTGTTATAATGTTAATACGATCTTTTTAAGATCATTGAAAATGAACTAACACAATAAAATATTATTTTTCACATAATTGTAATAATTTATTTGACCAAATGAACTGTAAAAACATTTATGACACTGTAACGCTTTCGCCTGTTATATCATCGATTACCTCAACAGCTTTATCAATCATCATACAACTCCAATTGATCATAAAATGGTTTTGATTTGTACCCATCAATTATTATTTTCATAAATAGTTTCTCCTCATTTAAGTCATTAGTTTTCCAGTCGACTTTTTAAAATACACTCTAATATCGTGTACAAATAATGGTTTTTTGGTAAATTACACATAAGTGCTTACATGTTTTGTGTTTGGTATATACATTAAAAAGGGAAAACAACTTATAAAAAATATGAATACGCGAAATAATCAAAAGTTTGTATTCTGATTCTTATTCCGGAAGAATGATAGGTAAGTCATGAGGTACACTAATCCAAGAAGGTTTTCCCTTCATTACTCGTTTCAAGTTAAGCAACAGAAAATATTAATCATATTTATGTGATAAATGTTATCTAAGTGTTTGTAAAACATAAATAAAATCATATTCAGTTAAATATTCACAGACGGTTTTTGCTGCATTGTAACCAACAGCATCCAAACACATTTGTGATAACATTGATGTTCACTCGATAATTTCAAGTAAAAGGTAAACCAGTCATTTATACAGTCTCCCTAAATCATGTAATTATTTGATATGGTCATTGAATTTTTGATTATTACTTGATCTCCCTTGCAGGTTCGTTTCAATCCGAATCCAACAAGTGCAACATGGATTGCGGTAGCCAGTAGTATAGGTTTTATACAATTTATATGTGTAGAACAATTATATTGTCAAAGCTTCGATATTCTACTAAATCGAACACCAACTGGAAAAGATTCCGTTTATTTAACACCAAAACCACATAATGTTGTTCTTGGTAGACCAGTGAATCCATGTAATAGAAATTCTTCTAAAAAAAATCGACGTAAAACAGTGACTTCATCAAACTCAACTAATATTTCCACAAAACAATCTGTACAAATAGAATTGGATAATAATGAAATGGATGTAGTTCCAAAGATTTTGACAAAAACACTTGATAATTATTCATCGGATGATAGTGGTGCAACGGAAATGATGATCAGCGATATGCACACATTGAATATTATTGATACTAGTCATGAAAATGATTTCACAACACAAAGAAATCAAATACGAAGAAGAAGTAGGCGTCTTCAGGCTCAACGCAATCTTTCTTCATCAACATCTTCAACTGATCCATGTGAAGGAAAATAATGCATTTCAACAATTCATCACCATATATATATATATATATATATATATAAATGTTATGTACATAAAACACTCCATATACATAAACAGATTATGATTTATATTTAATAAATAATTGTGAAAGCTGCTACTTTTTTCCTTTGAAATCTTGATCACTAGTCAATTATTCTATACATATCTATGAAAATTGTTGTCAATCATTTTGATTCACATGATCGAAATTAAAATGTAAATTTTTCACCACAGATCTCTATGGCTAAGTTTGCTACTGAGAAATTTTCACTTGATACGTCATTTACTAATATAGCTGGAGTCTAGAATCTGAACTAGTGAAATTAAAGTTATTCAGGGTATTGATACATCGAACAATATAATTCCTTATTTTTTAACGTTATTCTGTAAATGTTGATTAATTTGGTGTGTTTTTGGAATTTCTTCTGAAATACAAATGATGTTCATTGTATGTTCATTGTTATAACTTGTGACCGCCGATTATAGGGCAGTGAATTATCGATCGGACCAAGGGCGCAGCAGCCTAGAGTCCTGATTGGTCCTGCTTTCCGCCTAGCCCAACCAGTTAAGTCCAGAACATCAATCTCAGCCTCTGCAATATGAATCATTATATTTCAAACATACTGAGTTTATACACCAATCAAACAGACCACAACGTACCGATAAAATATAAAACGACATTTGTACAAGAATTAGCCAAATGTGGCTGTGAATGAGGGAGGCAGTGACTCATAGACAGGGAATAATTCAAGAATGGAAAATCGTATAATAACAGTTCATAGGTTATAATAAAGCTTATGATAAGAGAAACATGAATATGAATAGTTTAGTTAATTGACAATTATACGATAAAAATGTACGTATAGTATTGGTCCACAAATGGATCCCAAAAATTACTACTCATTATTCTTATCGGAGCATAACAAGTTTAACTGCAGAATCATGGAAAATTAAATATCACTATTCTATGTTAAGCGATTGGAGGTGCTATCATACTCAGGATTTATATTTCAGGCTAGTTGGTACTCGTTAACACTACAAATCTTAATCAGAGATCATCAAACACATTAAAAAGTTGTAATGTATTTAAACATGTCAGTTTACACAAAGCGTATTGCTTTTACTGTTTTAGAATTGTTGCCGAAGTATGTACGCGTTTCGTTCTGTTTGACCCTTGTCAGCTGGATCTATACATTGTTCTATGTTTTTATGTTGGGTTCTTAGACGTGTAAAATTATATTTTATGAGTAAATGCCAGATAAATTCCTGACGTTCTGATGAAATGCAATGATCACCTTAGGTCAATCATGTCACGAATGGAACACTTCACATTGATTAACGTCCCGCAATATGCTGAACTACCTAAAATTGGAAATGGTGCCTGTTAAATTACGATTCATTTGTCGAGAAGTGTTGAATTTGCTGTTAGCTCTAAAATCTTTGAGTTTGATTCCTCATTGGTTTCAAACTAGAACAAGACTTTTTTCTGGTACCTCATACTTGTTTTCAATGGTTCCTAGTTGATATGAATTCCTTGACGAACACTTAGCTCCAATTTAGCTTTCCGCACATATTTTCCATCCTGAACGCTCTTCATAACAAATAAATAATAATTTTATCAATATGCTTTTTAACAGTTTACTTCATTGATGATCTAATTTGTGCTTAGGTTGTTTATATCATCTTAAGGCGTAATTATTCACCAGAAACAGGGACTTCACTTATTACTCTAATTCATTATTAAACTTCGTAGTCGTTAACGCAAGTAATTTAAGGTTGTTGGTCTGAAAAGATTTTCTTGTCACTAAATTTATTCGGATAAAATGGCTTGTCAAGATCTGTTTAGCAAGGAAAGAGAATTTCATCAGGTATTCTCTTTACTACCTCATTCTTTTTTCTGATTAGAATTGTTCACAATAGAATATTGTTATAACGCTCGGATTTACTTCGTCTAATGTTATAACAGTTGGGTTTACACGTATGGAATGTTAATTTGCCTTAGACGAATATCTATACTAGATTTCCTCCCAGTGTCTATTCTACAGGACTTCAACACAACTCAGATCAAGAACACGTGATTAGTCTGACCACAACGTCAATATATTTCCACACCAAAATCCGACACAACCCAACAACAATGAACAATCACAATTGATTGATCACTGAGTGGTGATCAATGTCACGCGTGTCTAGTCCTTATTAGTGCAGACCGAATGCTATCGATCATGTTGCAATGTGGCCACCAGTCTAGGTGACTCGACACTGCGGGCACTATATATTGAGATTAGATGGTGGTTGGAGGTAGTCAACAGGAAGCCCTGGACCCGGGTTTCGTGCTACTTGGCACTCGTCAGCAAGGTGTGCCTGTAATCTTGAGGGAACTGGTGCTACCTGACGGATTCGGTCTCCTGTCACCCAGCTTCACAGTCAGAGACGTTACCACTGAGCTATCCGAGCCGTGACTGACCTCCTGTAGGACTGAGATGTAATCACAATTGATTGGTCACTAGGTGGTGATCAATGTCATGCGTGTCTAGTCCTTATTAGTGCACATCGAATGCTATCGATCAATGAACAATCAATAGTAAGTAAATAATAATAAGAATACGGGAATATATAAATCAGCTGACACCTCTCAGACTATCTACATGTCTGATTGAGCAGACAGCCAATCATTCTCGCTCACACATCAGATACAATCCATATTAAATAAGCATTACTATTAAGTTTACGATTTATTCATGAACAAGATCTGCATGCACAAAACATAACGTGATATTCCGTAAATTCCTGAGAAAAGACGATTTGATTCTAGGGTCTTAAATGGAAACATCTTTCCAAAAAGCAAGGGTTTTAGCTACATATATATTTACTAATCCATTTAGTGCTGGTTTCTAATTGTTGTCGCACGTATTTATCACCTGAGTGATAAATATTACATACTTCAATATGAATACTTTTGTGCTTCACTCAGGTGAAGTTTTAAAAAATGTAACAATGAACACAATGTTTTTAATAGTTTGTTGGCATACAAAAACATCAACTAACGAAGTATTTAGGAGGTCAAGAAGAATCTTCGAATGTTTTCAGTAGGATCTACTATCAAGAAATAAATAGAAAATATCCTCAACGCATTCACATAGGTTCAGTTTATATCCCTTTGAAAACATGTGACTGCATTGGACCATTCCCTCTACTGCTTTCCGAAAAGCGATTTATTGGGTAAATACAAGTTGGCTCAATCCTCTGAATTACAATCAAATTAAATGAAGGCGAGTTATTAGCGGTTACACATTGGATGTTTAGAACATTGATTCAATTCTGATATGAATTTATATCGGTATGCCCACTTGATAGATTCGCATGCAAAGTAGGATCACAGATTTCTTGAATTCATCAACTATTGGTTCACTTTACACTGAATGACACTAATACCATTTCTCCCTACCCACTAAGTATGTAGATGTTGAAATAGAAATTCTGCTAACAATCATAACACGAAAAAGGCCAATCAATTTACTTTCATTATTGCCAATTTCAATGAATAAAATTTCATATAATAATATACATCAAATATAAGACCACAATGCAGGATAAATAAGAAATTTGGACCATTAGTAGTACAAAACCAAATAACAGGTACATATTAGTTACCAACTGTAAATTATAAACGATGAAATATATATCAACTTTTAGTGAGTTAACTAACGAATGTTTCGCAATTATATAATAAGAATATATTTTTCAGTAGTACTCCACTCTTTTCCCTTATAAGTTCATTATCTAACAAATTCGTTATGTAGTATTCTTTTAATTCGCTCGATTTTGTTGATAATTGTAAATTGTATATCAACTGTAAATACTAATTATTTTATTGTTGTTGAATTTAAACACTATAATTTACCAACTTAATTGTAAATTATGAACTATAAATAATAGAAAAATATGATTCTCATAATTCAAAATATATAGTTGAGAAATAATGAAAATCGGGATTTTCTCGAAATTATGGATGCATCTAGAAAATAGGAATTCCGTTTCAAAGATTCATTATTATTGCTTTAGAATATATATTTAAAGTATAATCATTAAACTAGAGGTTGAAGTGAAAATTTTATCTGAATTATACAGCTAATTCTAACTTGAGAACAGTTATAATCAGTTGGAAAGTGGTTTAAAATCAGTTGACTAGATAATAACAAGACAACGAGTTGGTAGAGATCGTCCAACTAAGTATCAGGAAGTATCGTGAAGCTTATGAATGCTAATTCAGTGGTCCAAGGGGACGGAGCTAGTCTCAAGGCTTGAAGATCGTTTCTTCAGACTATTGACCTAGTGGTAACTAACCACTATTATGAAGTCCCATAATAAGACGAAATAGCTTTCCAATGTGACCTCGCTTTGAACATTTACATAGATAGATAATAATTTTATTGCTAAACTGCCTTAAATAGATGCAAATTCTTATAACGTTTCATAAAATTGATGAGTAATTAAATGGTAACTCATGCTCCTCGATATTTAACATTTCTGAGTTTCACTCTATGTAGCACAGTACAAGTGAATCTCTTAATATTTTGATGTGTCAGTCGAAAGTGGAATTTAATTGATTAGTGAGCGAAGTTAGACACAGCCAGTGACGTAAATGCTTAGGGATATATTGTGTTGTCGATTCATTCTACTCTGGATTCAAACTCTGTGAATAAACTTTTGTCTGATCTACGTTTGATTCTCAATCGTTTACCGGGTATGTTGAGTCAAGTACTACTAATTGGATTATTTCGTATCTAACATCTAGAGATCCTACTATTTAGTATCAATGGTGTAGATGCAAAAGGCAGTGTTTTCTGTTATGTTATCATCAAAATAAGACTAAATCGTCATCAACTATTTTTTATTCCTAAATGGTTCGTTAGGTTTAGTTTATGATGAAAAAAAAACTAGATGGAATTTGAAAATATCTCTACATGAAATTATTCGACTGATTAATTTGCTAAAAAAATGTTATCTGGTCTAGTTTGATCAAAAATTGATTTGGATTACTTGCAGTTTCATTCTACAAGTTGATTTTTTATATCAACTAAAACTCATAAGGAAATATGAAATTATTTGTACAATAAATAGAATAGAACGGGGTTTGTGGGGATTTTCTCAGAAATTTCAATAGTTGAAATCATCAGTCAATTGAAGCTAGATCACCATGGAAAACCTGGAAGCACTGGACGGCCGTTTCGTCCTAGTATGGGACTCCTTAGCAGTGCGCATCCACGATAGTAACTCACTGAAGACAATGGTGTACGGTGGTGCAACTTCGTGGATTGGTTGAAGTTAGACATTAACACCGTCGGATGCCGGCTCAGTGGTCTAGGTGGTTAAGCGCCTGGCGTGAGACTGACAGGTCTTGGGTTCGAATCCCGCGGGGTGCGGGATCGTTGGTGCGCATTGCTGTAG